GAAACAGGCTTCCTTTTTGGTGGGGAATTCTTGTCATATCACATCATTATTTATTTGAATCACCAAGGCTGGGTTAACCAGGTCCTGCTCCTCCACACGGCTGTGAGGAACGGGGAAAGGACCTCTTAGTGCTCGTCAAATGGGTTTCCTGAGTGATGCTCCACGGCTTAACTGGAATTTGTGTAGTAGTCTAGTGGAAAAAAAGAATGGGGGGGCGCTTTGAGGGGAGGGTTCCTTTGGTTTTCAGGCTGTTAACTGTAATTAGCCTGGTTTCGGAGATGTAATTATCTTGCGATCTCAAAGCAAACACCCCGGAGGAAATTGCACTGTTAAAGACAGCATGGCATTAAAAATAAATGATTACTCCAGCGCCTGCTATTGCTGCTGATGCTTTGCCATTTGTCAGGGTTTCCACTAGTGAGCCCTTGTGCAGGGCTGCTGCTGGGCAGCCAAGTCGCCTCTCCAGGGTGGGCATGGGAGGCCCGGCTTACTTGGTTGTAGCTCTGCTGTAAAACCATGCGCCTATGGTAGCAAAGGCGAAGCCGCATCATCCGTACTCCGTACTCCCTTTTACCCCATCCTGCCACTGGCGTGGCTTGCGTAGTGAAGAAAGCACTGTGGGCACTACTTAAAACATTTGTCTTCACATGTGTTTCCTAATCGTGTGTATCTGTGTGTCTGAAGAGGTCAGAGGACAACTCGCAGGAGCTGGTTCTCTCCTTCCACCATGCACCGTGGGCCCTCTTTGTTAGCAGATGGTGGCAAATGGCTAGAATCAACCATTGCAAATCTAAAGCTCAAGCCATGCCAATGCTCCACAGAGGAAAGTTCAAATTGCTTAGAAGTGGCTGGAAGAAAATGAGAGAACTCCTAAGGACTTGAGGGGCAAACCGAGAGGGTTTTAAATGATCATTTCTGGGAGTCACAGAAGCTGGGAAGGTCATAAGGTTCAAAAGCAGAGATGTGTGGGCTCACCCATGCTATTGTTCAGGTTGTAGACTCCCCGGCAGCCTCTGCTTCCGTATCCAGGGGAAGCGGCTGTGGGTGGAACCCTGCTTAAGTTGTGTTCCCACAGCGTTGCTCTACCCAGAGGGGTGACAAACTTTTCTAATTTCTCCGCTGAGTAGAAAAGATTTCAAACCTTTGCTTGTACAGATGAGTTTACGAAAGTGTGATGCAAGCCACCATGTACGGTCAGTGTGACCTTGATTGAATTATGTATTCTAGGGTTCTCATGTATAAAAAGGAGGATAATCATGACAATGACAATATTGCTGGGGTTATCTCAGGACTCCAAACTGCCCTGCAGAAGCATGTGCTCAATTGATAGCAGGGGTTTTGATGATAATGATGATCATGACCATGGGAATCATTGTCATCAAGCATCTACCTGGATTCTAGCCCAAAGCCAGCTGTGGAGACCGGGGAGAGGCTGGAAACCCCAGTTCCCTTTCTCCATGTTGCTAAGAGTTTGGACGGTGGGGTAGGGCACAATGTATCAACTTTAGCTTACTTTTGTGTGGGTTCTGTATGGTAAAAATTCCAGTCCCTAAAGCAAACATTTTAGATGTTAATACTGTGGTAAGCCTGGCTTTTTATTGATATATTTAACATATAAGAAAGGAAGATGTAATGATAACCCCTATGTACTTCAGAGACAAGGATGTGGCTGTCCAGACAGAGTGCAGCAAGCATGAAACAGAGGAAGGTGGACAGAAAACGTGGGGGCTGTCTATAATCCAAAGAAGGCTTGGAGCTGCTAGACAAAGTTTCTCATCTTTCAATGAGCCAAGCTGATTTGTGTTGGAAGCAATCTGAGTAATAGAAATCCACAGCTTTTTATTACAAAAACCTAATTTTATCTAACGTCTTTACCTTTTTCTTGTTAAATTTCATCTGCACCTCTAATGTTTCACTAAATGAATTATTAAATGGAAGGCCAATTAAGTCTATCTAGAGTTATATATTACCATTAGGAATAAAAAGTTAAACCGGTTCCTAGTTGTTAGCATAGATTATTAACAAAATATACCCACAAGTTTTATGATTATATTTTGATTTTTTTTGCAGTGTTGGTGACCAAACTCATAGCCTCACATATAAACAAGTGCTCTACATTGATCCACACTTCCAGCCCTAGTTCAAGATAATTAATACTGGAGTCTGCCTGAAGAATTCCCTGGGATGTGTTAATTCTGAGAGGAACTTGACAGCTATGGACCTCACTCATATGCATCTCATGGTTGAAGAAGAGTGAAGCAAGAAATTAAATTAAAACCATTCTAGTGTTTAGCATAGCCTAACACTTCCTTTCCCTCCCTCCCTCTGTCCCTCCCTCCTTCCCTCCCTCCCTCTCTCCCTCCCTCCCTCCCTCCCTCCCTCCCTCCCTCCCTCCCTCCCTCCTTCCTTCCTTCCTTCCTTCCTTCCTTCCTTCCTTCCTTCCTTCCTTCCCACTGTCTTCCTCTTTCTTTCCTCTCCTCCTTCTCACAATCTTTGTATACAAAACATGTTCTTGCATATTTAACAAATGGCAATTACTAAAAAGTTTGGTTGCCCAAATATGTGAGCCAGAGTCAACCTGCAATTCATTCTTCAAAGAAGGTACAGGAAATGGCTATGGAGATTTCCACTTGTGGAAATTACCCCCAAACCAAAACCAAAATCAAACAACCTGAAAGTGTGAAACCAACCAGAATGAGCATCACTCTGAGGGCCAATACAGATGTTAGGAACCAAGGATTGGAAAAGTCTATGAACTGAAACGTAGAGACCCTGAAATAGGTGTGTCGGGCGGGTACTTACTAACCTAGGAGGAGCTGCTAGAATCAGTTAGGCACAGGGCTTCTCCTTGAGAACCACAAGAAAAAGGGGTAGAGGTATTAGCAATTCCTGCAGCCAGAGATTTAACCTAAGATTCTTGTCCCAGACAAAACTCTCTGTAAAATGGTGTATGAAAATCCACCCAATGGTTAAAAACGAAGCAAGAGAAACCAAATGTCTGAAGAGAGTGCTGAGCTGGCTTCAGGGGGAGGTGGCTGTGATAATTCATAAGAATGATCTTGTTATATTTTTTTTCTTGTGGTCCAGGAAATTATGGAGGAACATGCCTTAAAACCAGATTGTATGGGATTCCTGCAGCCAAAACTCTGCCAAATATGAGATCACAGCCCCCAAATTACAGAACACACAAGCAACCATTCCACCACAAGTCAGAGTCAGCAGAGCAACAAGAGACTTCCCCACAGTACTGGCTGTGTTCTCTAAATAAAGTGTGAGTCAAGAAGGGTTAAATAGTGCAGTTAAAAATAACCAATAGCTATCAGCCAGTTTGGGGAAAAGAAGTAGCAGAGGTTAAAACATAAAATAATAGAAAATAAAAACGTTGGAAATGTAAAGTAGCAGACTGAGGATGACCGACAAAAAGTGAACTGGGAGATCTTTGGAAGAGATCAAAAGAAAGCAAGATTAAGATACACATTCAGAGTAGCAAGAGAAGGGCTTCGGGTATGTGAGATGAGACTTTGTGAGGATGCCATATAAAAAAACGCGGAGGGGCGGGAGAGATGGTTTAATGGATAAAGCACTCTCCATCCAAGTATCAGTACTGGAGTTTAGATCCCTCAATCCATGTAAATTCTAGGCTGATATGACCGTTGTCTATAATCCAAGCACTGGGAGGTAGAGACCTGAGTTCAATAGGTAAGCTGTCTAGCTATGCTAGTTGAAATTGGTGGGCTATCGGTTCAGAGATCTGATTTAATATATAAAGAGGAGTGATGTAAGATTCCCCTCTGTATGCTGTGAATATGTTTTATTACCATTGGTTAATAAAGAAGTTTCTTTGGGCCTATGGCAGGGCAGAATAGAACAAGGCAGGAATTCCAAGCAGAGATAGAGGAGAAAAGAAAGTAGAGTCAGAGAGATTCCATGTAGCTGCTAAAGGAGACAGATGCTCTGGAACCTTACTTGTAAATTACGAACCTCGTGGTAAATTATAAAATAACAGAAATGGGTTAATTTAAGATTTAAGAGTTACTAAATAAGAAACATAAACATAAACGATTGGCCAAGCAGTGCTGTAATTAATATAGTTTCTGTGTAATTATTTCAGGTCTTGGTGGCCAGGAAATGAACAAGCAGCTTCCATCAACAAAATGACATCAACGTGGACAACTACATCCACATAAAACCTGAGAGAGCTTGAAAAGAAATTCTAGACACAAAAATAAAGAGTTTAGCCCAACTTCTTGGTAGCCATTTTTTTTTTCTTCCCAGATGGGCTCTATTTGCTGGTGGCAAGCAGGGATGCAGTGGTTCCTTTAATAGAGACTCAGCATTGGCAATGAAGGCTACATGGCTTCTTTAGGGGAGGGCTTCCTGGTGATTCGTGCTAGTTACATGCACAACTCTGGCTCATTGAGGAGGCTGAGCACTTAAATGGGGTCTGTGAGCAATGTGTTACAAATTGTTTAATGGTGACATAGACCTGCTGTAACCCTGGAGCTGGGGTGGTGTGCATGGCACTCAGAGGCAATGAACATGCCTCTGGCATGTTGGACTAGGTAGAGTCAACAGGCAGGGCTATAGAGTTGGCCCTAACCACACCTGCTTAGCATTTAAAAAAAAAAGTGCTCCTGGTCAGAAAATAATTACAGATACACATGTAATAAAGACAAATTCAGATGAAAAAGACCTCTAAATGGGTCACAGTGTTAGGTCAATGTATGTAGGCTTGAGATAGAGAGGTAAAAGAGTATAGACAGTTATAATATAAAAGAGTACAGTCATAGATTAAAGGAGTAAAGATAATAAAGTAAATATTAAACTTGTAGAAAAAGTAATAGAGTAAGAAAAACAAGTCATGTAAAGATGGAATATACAGGTGGACTCAGCGACCCGCGCGGGCTAACCCGCTCTCCTGCCGCCGCGGCGGCGGAGAGGCCGGATCCCTGCAGCGTGGGCAGGTGGCGTGGCAGAGCCCAGCCAGCCAGACGCGCCAGGACTCCAGACTCCTGCAGGTAGACTTGACTTCACAGCATCCGCTTTGGCGTGTACATCTGGAGGACCACACGCTTCTCTTCTCGGAGCCGCTCAATGCCTGTGCGCACCCCAGACCCCAGCAAGGGAAGAAGGGAGAAGGTTCTCGGATGACAATGGACGTTCCACTGTGCAGGATGAGGGCAGAGTGTGTGACATCACCACCACGAGGGTGCAATGTGATCTTGGGCATCTCCCTTCCTGGCCAGCACTCTGCCTCCTCTATCCATCATGGTGTTTGGTGAGTTTTTCCATCACCCTGGACAAGACGAGGAACTTGTCAACCTGAACGTGGGGGGCTTTAAACAGTCTGTGGACCAGAGTACCCTCCTGCGGTTCCCTCACACGAGGCTGGGGAAGCTGCTGACCTGCCATTCTGAGGAGGCCATCCTGGAGCTGTGCGATGACTACAGCGTGGCCGACAAAGAGTACTATTTTGATCGGAACCCCTCCCTGTTCAGATACGTCTTGAACTTTTACTACACGGGGAAGCTGCACGTCATGGAGGAGCTGTGCGTGTTCTCCTTCTGCCAGGAGATCGAGTACTGGGGTATCAACGAGCTCTTCATTGACTTCTGCTGCAGCAGCCGGTACCAGGAGCGGAAGGAAGAAAGCCATGACAAGGACTGGGACCAGAAAAGCAACGATGTGAGCACGGACTCCTCCTTCGAAGAATCCTCTCTCTTTGAGAAAGAGCTGGAGAAGTTTGACGAGCTGAGGTTTGGCCAGCTCCGAAAGAAAATCTGGATTCGAATGGAAAACCCAGCTTATTGCCTGTCCGCCAAGCTAATCGCCATCTCCTCCTTAAGTGTGGTGCTGGCGTCTATCGTGGCCATGTGCGTGCACAGCATGTCCGAATTCCAGAATGAGGATGGAGAAGTGGATGACCCTGTGCTGGAGGGAGTGGAGATTGCATGCATTGCCTGGTTCACTGGTGAGCTGGCCATCCGGCTGGTCGCTGCCCCTTCTCAAAAGAAGTTCTGGAAAAACCCTCTGAACATCATCGACTTCGTGTCCATTATTCCCTTCTATGCTACGTTGGCTGTGGACACCAAGGAAGAAGAGAGTGAGGACATTGAGAACATGGGCAAGGTGGTCCAAATCCTCCGACTCATGAGGATTTTTCGAATTCTGAAGCTTGCCCGGCATTCGGTAGGGCTTCGGTCTCTTGGGGCCACGCTGAGGCACAGTTACCATGAGGTGGGGCTACTGCTTCTCTTCCTTTCGGTGGGTATCTCCATCTTCTCCGTGCTCATCTACTCTGTGGAGAAGGGTGAACTCGCATCCAGTCTCACCAGCATCCCTATCTGCTGGTTGTGGGCTACTATCAGTATGACCACGGTGGGCTATGGAGACACCCATCCGATCACCTTAGCCGGGAAGATCATTGCAAGCACGTGTATTATCTGCGGCATCTTGGTGGTGGCCCTTCCCATCACCATCATCTTCAACAAGTTTTCCAAGTACTACCAGAAGCAGAAGGACATGGATGTGGACCAGTGCAGTGAGGACCCACCGGGAAAGTGCCCCGAGCTACCTTACTTTAACATCAGGGACGTTTATGCACAGCAAGTCCATGCCTTCATTACCAGTCTGTCTTCCATTGGCATCGTGGTCAGCGAGCCTGACTCCACAGACGCTTCTAGCATCGAAGACAATGAGGATGTTTACAATACCGCATCCCTGGAGAACTCTACCGCAAAGTGAGCAGGGGCATTTGCACCGATATCTTGTGTCCCTTCCTGACATTAGGTTAACACAGCTTTATAAACCTTAATGGGTTTGTTCAAATAAATCATTTAATTCTCAGGGTGTACCTTTTAGCCATAGTTGGACATTCATTGCTGAATTCTGAACTGATAGAAATTATCTTTATTTTTCTCAAGTGAGGTCAATTAAATGCCTTGTTCTGAAATTTATTTTTTACAAGAGAGAGTTGTAATATGTTTTTTTTGGGGAAAAGAGTAAATGATATTGGGAAGGATTTATTGCTACGGCTTATGCAACATTCTGTACTTACCATTCACTCACATTGAGCTAACTCTAAATTACTGACGATAGAGCAGAGGCCCAGCTGACTGAAGACAACATGCATGTAAGATCTACAACATGAGACAATGCATGTAAATCCATGTTCATGTTCCAGACATGGGAATTGGGAGCTCAATAAACTTCTAATTCAGTATGGAGAAAAAAAAAGATGGAATATACACAAAGAGTCTGGATTATGTATATTATTGTGTTTTCTTTGAATATTTTGACTGTGAATGAGCTAAGTATAGAGAGGTATTTGATTCTGGGGACTGCTAAGCTAAACCAACATATACATATTAAAGGTATCTTGACTTCAAAATTTGAGTCTAAGGATTTGTTGCTTTGGAAAAGAAGTTCTGCTTTTGTTTTCACAGAGGATGAGAACCTGTGGATTGCTTCCAGACTAATGTGGTTTAATGGATCAAGACCACCCAAAAGGTCTCCATGGACCCCACAAAATACCCAACAAAAAGCAGCAAACGGTTTGGAGAGAGCAACACTCAAATTCCCAAATATTGTTTATAAATGTTTGTTTACATTTAAAGGGAGATAAGACATAGAGATGAATACTCTGCATTGGTACAGATCTTGATCTATTGATACAAATTTAAGGTCAATTTTGTTATATGTATTTCTGCTCTTGTTTAAGATATTGTTTTGTGCACCTCATTTGAAAATGTAATGTATAATTAAGAGATACAGATTAATAGATAGTCATTTATAGTAGTCAGACTTGTAGTCATGTTAGTTAGGTTTTCTAGATATAAAGAGATAGATATATTTTAGATGGATAGGTATTCTTAAAATCTTTCAGAGATATACAGAATATGGCATTTAAAATACTTTAAGAACTTAGACTTTTCTTGACAGCGAGACATGTGTGCTTCTGGCAGCACCAGTTACTTCAGAGAGGCTGATGGACATTGAAGAAACTTATTATGGAATTTGCATTCAATGTGACAAGGTACTTTCACATTGTCAAAGTGACAATTTGGGCATGAAACCATTCTTGCCTGGAATCCTTGATGGAATGCTGTATAAACTGGATATGTAAGACCCACAGAAAAGTGACAGCTGAAATTGCCTAATGAAGGTGAGACAGTCCTTCAGGGTTCCTGCTTCATGAAAGAGTCTGCCAGACATTCTTCAGGACACAGAAGAAAGTGACTGACAAACTGCCAATATAGGTGAAATTGGCTTTGAAATTTCCTGTTTTGTGGAAAAGTCTGCTGAATACTATGGGCTTGTAGACTGAAGATGAGTGCCCCATTGGTACAGGAGAACTTTGAGTGACTGTCCAGGAAACAAGATGTCTCTGTCAATTCTAGAGTTTTTGAAGTTGCTTACAATGCACTTACTGTTTACTCAGGTAATATTATATCCTGGAATCTTTGATGAAGTTGAAGAAAGATAGTTATAGCTATAAAAGATAGAGTAGCTATAAAACTTTAGACTCAAAAAGATAGGAAAAATGATAAAATATTTTCCTTAATTTGCCAAATGTAAAGGGATTCAATATTATAACTATAATTCTTGCTTGATAACTGTTTTATTATATCTAATTTTTCTGTGTTAAAGTTAAAACTTTCCTTTTTATTTAGACAGAAAAGGGGAGGTGATGTGGGATTTCCCTCTGTATGCTGTGAATATATTTTATTACCATTGATTAATAAAGAAGATGCTCTGGGACTATGGCAGCACAGAATACAGAAAGGCAGTAATTCCAAGCAGAGATAGAGGAGAAAAGAAGGCAGAGTCAGAGAGATGCCATATAGTTGCCAAAGGAGACACATGCCCTGGAACTTTACCAGTAAACTACAACCCTCATGGTAAAATAAAAAATACTAGTAATGAGTTAATTTAAGATGTAAGAGTTATATAATAAGACGCCTAAGCTGTTGGACAAGCAGTGTTGTAATTAATATAGTTTCTGTGTAATTACTTTGGGTCTGGGTGGCTGAGAAATAAACAAACAGCCTTAGCCTATAGAAGAGAGCAATCAAAGAAGACCCCTTATGTTAAGTTTGGTCTTTGACATGCATACTTGTACACATGAACCCCCCATTTTCATGCACCCACATACATGTGAATATGCATTCACACCACACACACGCACAACATAGAAAACAAAGGATGAAGTAAAGACATAACAGAAAATTGTGATTTTTTTTCAAGATGTTAGAACATATAAATCAACAGGTTCAGGAAATACAGTAAATTCTAATCATTTTTTTCATTTTCAAATAGAATAATTCCATATTTAGGCACACCTTAATGTATTGGGGAACACAATGTTCCTTGTACCCCAGATATTACTAGAGAAACTAGTAATGTTAAACACACAGGGGCCTCTTCTCATTGGACGAGACAAAGTACATGTTTTCGCACCCAGAAGACTGTGAGTGGATTTTCTTAAGGACCTGGTGATGTTTTTGGTCTCTGTGGAGGCATACCTCACCCACCTTTTGCTATAGAGGCAGCCCAGACCATTACCCATCCTTAGGGGAGATGTTACATGCACTTTATGGCCTGCTGACCTCTATACTGTCTCAGTCATAGGCCATATTAGTTAGATTCTAGGCCTTTTAGCTATAGAACCCACATGTACTTTGTAAAGGAGTCTCTGTGTAGTCACACCTTAAGCTTTATTGTGAGCCTGGACTGGTATGATTGTTGCCTGGAAATATTTCCTCAAACTGTGCTGTGTTTTTAAATAAGATGACAATGAACCGCCTGGCATTAGATTCCCCAAAGTTTGATCCAGGTTGATGAAGTCAGCCTGATCTGGGTTTTCATTCTCATCTCTTCACGGATCACTGCCTGCATTGACACCTGCAGGGTTCCCTCTCATTAATGAAACTAGAAAACCTCAAAGAGCAAGAGAAAACTTCAAAAGCAGCCAGAAGACAAATTAGGCCAACTTTGTGGATGTTAGATTGACAGTGTACTTCAGGAATAGTAGAAGGCAGAAGCTGGAATTCAACATGGTAAAAGAAAATAACTGGAAATTGGTATCCGCCCCCACTATCATTCTGTAACGGAGGTGGATATCTTTGCAAACGTTTCCAGTCAAGAGCAATGGCTGGGACTTCTTACTAAGAGGTTTTTGTGAAAGGATCTTTGTAAAAGGGAAGTATTCAGTCCTGACTGCATATCAGAATTACAGGAGGAGACTTAGATACTCTTGAGTAACTGCTCTGAGGTACAGACTGGGCATTGAATTAAAACAAAACCATCCTAGGTGGTTCTGATGTGATGTCAAGTTTAAGACTCACTTCCTGAAGGATGGAATTGAACTCAGGAAAGAATAAAGAACAAGGAACTTCCAACTATGTGTTACACCTAAATACTCATTTTCTGAAAGAAGAAATAATAAATAATACTAATGAAGAATGAAAAAAGCTAGATTATAGGGCTAAAATAACATGTAAGAAGAAGGAACTGATTGGAAGTTCAAGGAACTTGAGGTTCTTTTTTATCACTACTCAGGGAGAGTTATTGATTAACTTAGTTAAGTAATAATATTAAAATTGGTGGATAATGATAAAAGAGTAGGAATTTCATATGTAGTTTTTGATCTGGAGGAGATGGTAATTTGTCTGGGGAGTGAACCGAGCATGTGGAGAGGCCTTGAAGAGATCGAGTGGCATGAATCAGACATGGGGTGACAATCACAGAGGCAGTAGGATTAGAAAGGGTGGAGTCATTTTGGGAACGGATACTGAGGTTTAAGAATGGATGTGACCTGGAGATGCATTCCTAAGAGGGCATAGGTGGAGAGGGTGGAGAAGATACAGTGCATCTCCAACATAACATTATCTTGAGTATCTTAAGTCACAAGAACTTCAGGTTGAATGGAGATGCTTGGGCAGATACAGCTCTGCAGAGTCAAGTCCCAAAGAGTGCAGAGATGGCCGCCAGGTGAGTGTGCTCCCATCATAGCCACTACAATGGAAAGTATGTCAGCCAGAGATTAAAAGCTCAGTTGATCTCTTCATGTATTTCTTATCCATAATACTAAGTAAAAATGAAAGAAGGCTGTTTTAGGTCACTCAGTTGAGAAGTAAGTTGCTGCACAGCAATGGAGAGGAATGGTAATGGGGCCATTTTAAGCAGTGTCTCTTATATTAATCAATTAAAAAGGCATGTATAAATCCAGAACTGGGGAGATTGAGGCAGAAGGATCACAGGTTGAAGCCAAACTTGGACTGCCTTAACAAGAGCATGTCTAAAATGTAAATAAATAACTAGTTTGTTTCTTTTAAAGTCTTTTTTGGTATTTATTTGTCTACTTTTGTTTTTACATCCTAAACATAGTTTACCCTCATTCCTCCCTTCCCATTCTCTTTCTGCCACCTCCTTTATCCCCCAACCATTCTTCCTCTGTTTGTCTTAACAAAAGGGCAAGCCTCTGATATGCTATTCCCCTCTGTATCCTGGAATACCATTGGTTAATAAAGAAGCTGCTTGGGCCTATTATAGCACATAATAGGGTAAGGAAGGAATTCCAAGCAGATAGAGGAGGAAAGAAGAGGTGGAGTCAGGGAGACACCATGTAGCCACCAGAGAAAGATGCTTGCATGCTGGTACTGGTAAAATATGAAATAATGGAAATGGGTTAATTTAAGATGTAAGAGCTATCTAGAAAAACATTCAAGCTTTTGGCCAAACAGTGTTGCAATTAATATAGTTTCTGTGTGATTATTTCAGGTCTGGGCGTCTGGTAAAGGAATGAGCAGCCTCCATCTACAGGCTGCCCATGGATATCAACCAGCCATGGTATATCAAGTTGCAGTAAGACTGGGCACCTCCAAATGACCCAGCTCTTATTTGTGCTTCTGGGTCTTACCGTGAGCTCTCAGAAGGTGGCAACTGGTGAAGCAGCAGCATGAATGATAATTTGACAAGAGCTGAAATACATTGACAAGGAAAGCAACATGGTTCCATGTGAGCATAGCAAGGTGGATGGAAGGCCAGGCATCACCAGGGTTGGGTCCATGCTGGAGTAGCAAAGGGAGAAGCCACTGTAGATCTTGTTCTTGGCTTCTAGTGGCTGATGGCAGTCCTCAGGTTGGATTGGCTTGT